CAACCCTCGTTATAACGGACACCTTCGCGACTATAATGAAATGCCCGCAATAGTGACAGTATATATTCAGTTATTTCACCGGAGATGACAACAAGATCACAGGTAAGTTAAAAGCAACCAACCCTCGTTATAACGGACACCTTCGCGACTTTCCGTGTCAGTACTTATATACATTCTTGAATATACTTACAAGTGCTTGCTTCCGTAACCATCTGTTGTTAAACCAGCAGAAATACCAACAACTACAGCTGGACAACCTATGAAAAGGTAAATTCGATTACAAACATTATGTACAAACGAATTAGTAACACTAAAGAGAGTACAATCCAGAAGGGCAGTGTGTTGCGACCCCAGCCTCCTCCGCAAGCATCACTAAGAACCACGGGCTTCCTGTCTTTTTTGGGGAGTCAGAGGAGGAAGAATTGGGCCGAGAGTGGGCCCTTCTAATTTTTCCTTTCTCGTCACTAGACCCAAGATGACCGTTACAAAGCCCACAGGAGGAGAAAAGGGTTGCCTGTGGAGAGGCTATTGCGACCCCATTTTCAAGAACAATGCATGATGGGAAAAATATGAATATTAGGACCGCATGGCACTATGATAAACATGATATAGAAATAAAGGAAAGTTATAGTTATAGTGCTCAATTAGAAGGTGGTGATGCTAGGAAAGGCAGTCTTCCACTTTTTTATCTCGTCCTTTGCGTTTTCGCTACAGAAACAGCATATTTAACCATCGCAAAGAAAACTTAGATACGGATTTTAGGTTTATTTAAAGTACATTAAAAAGTGCATCAACAGCATGCTTCGTTGTACAAAATCCTTACCCCAACCAAGGAAGTAGTAGAAGTTCATTCTTCCTGTGTCCACGTTACGTTTCTCRCTCAGTCTTCGATACATGTGGACAGCCTCGACCAACATCCACGTGAACACGGTCGAGAAGAAATAATGCAGTAAAATGGCGATTAAACGACACGCCGTCTAGAGATACAAGAAAAACAWTGTTACTTTTTAAGATTATAAATTAATAATATACTCGTCGTAACATTCAAAATAACAACTGTCTTCGATACTAGGCGTGAAACTAGTGTGCTCTATATCGGTGTTTCCACAACAGAGTTGCCAAAAAATGATAATTATACACTTAGAAAAAAAGAGTAAAAGTATAAAAAAATAAATAAAATAATGTGAAGTGCAAATGTCCGCCGAAACTTGAGTAACTTTTCTATCGTTTTACGGTATAAAGGGTATATTTTTGACGCTGCTGAGATGAAAAGTCTATCAAATTCGATACCCATAAATCGCCTCAGTCGCGCAATCACTATTCAAAAACTCACACTTGTTTTTTCATTACGTGTTTTTCCTTCCCCGCCTTTCCCTGGACGAYATTGCTAATCTAGCGATGGCATTATAGATTTACGTTGCATCAAAGAAAGGTTTGCACAAGTTACCTCGTCTTCGGTTCGGTTAATTCCTGCTAAGAATACAGCYTCTGCCAGCACGATAGCAGCGATCAGGTTTTTATGGATGTCTGTTGCATTGCTTTTCTTGAGACCCCTGATGAAATGAATGCTCATTAGTCTCAAGCATAACAATAATCTTTAGTATTAAAAAACAAATTTTCCTCCACTCTAGCTCCTGGAGAGTCGTGCAATATTCGACAATCGCCGTTCGCCGTTCGCTCTCCCCCCCCTGTTTTTTTTGTTTTTTTTTTTGAAATACGAAATGTAGAAAATGAAATGATCTCATAATCAATAGACCTTTTTCAGAAAACCATCACGTGGTACTAAATCCACCATGCTGGTTGCAAAATACCCAATGTTGTGTTCAAAACAAAGAAAATTCAAGCTTGACGGGCTGCATTCCTTTTGTTTTTGAGGTTGTTTACATGCTTTTGCTATCCAGTATGGCGAATTTAGTACCATGTGACCGTTTCATGCAAAAGGCCTATTTTTATACTACTAACCTGAGGCACATAAAGGAAATGAAAGCAATGAGAAGGATGAAGATACACACTGCAATCCCTACATATGTCACTATCCGCATWGCAAAAGACACCTTAGGGAGGTACTGATGAAAAAAACACCATTGTTAACAAATGAATATCAACATTGTTATTATAGCTACACAGCATGGAAATTAACTGTACAACAGAATATAAAATTCAAGACAATTTTGAAGACGATTTAATTTCAACTTTTATTCAAAAAATYGTTTTACAAGGCCCACGTGGAACCKAGAGCCTTTGCGCGATTCTCTMATAMGAAWTATCGCCATCTTTCATTTTAAACCAATCAGAAAGCAACTTTCAACAATAGATCATTTGTAAAGCAAAAGAAACGATCGAATAGGCTCTTGGATGCACGTGGACCTTTAGGATGGTGAAACGTAGTAACATTGTATAAAATAACCTCTATAAGGGTACAAGTACGAAATCCCGACGGTCGAAAACTGATTGTACACGATTCTTACCTCGAGATTAAGGTCTGATAAAACTGCGAATGACGTCATATGGGTACATGCGCAGGTTGTGTGCGTCCAGTTAACAGCAACTCTTCGACATCCATTGGTGGACCAGCCTCCTCCCCTTGTATTCCTATACGCATGAAATTGAACAAAAGTAAGGGAACTTAACCAGATAAAAATTACAAAATTTTCGATCCTTCGAATTTTTTTCTTGGAATACATCATTTTACAGTTCAAAGCGCCATCTTGAAAGGTAGTCGAGTCTTCGCACCAAAGCGAGACAGAAGTTGAGCTTGCAATGATAGATRCCTGTGAATAATTGTTTTAGGTGTGGACAATCATTGCAGGCTCAACTCCTGTCCCGCTTTGATGCAAAGGCTTGGTTACCTTTCAAGATGGCGCTTGGAGCTGTAAAATGAAACATTGTCTTTACAAAGTGATCACGTGATGAAGTTTGTTCTGCAGAAATCCATATTGATTCCTATTGATGATATAATATGGGATGGTAATACTCACGGAACTGAGTAATTCCAGAAAACACAGATATACTCTGAACGATTAACCTAGAATAAAGAAACGAAAATTAATTGATGACTTTATTAAAACAAACCGAACTAAGCTGAATACTAAAACTCACGTATCTATTGTAGAAGGTTATCTGGATTGGATCCTTTAATTTTATATTCTCCATTCCTGGCATTCTTACTGATACCACATCAGAATTAACTTCGACCTTGTACTTGGACTCTCTACAAGAACAAAGAAATCATGATGAATGTCGTCATTTTATTAAGAAAATTTTGCCCCACTCGGTGCTGCCTAAAATGGGTACAACATGTAATTCAAGATGGTGAACGTTTMACGAGCTCATTTACAGGAATTTCAAAAAGTTGTTTACTGGATGCTGCATTTTAGACCGCAATGCATTGTTACAATCAAACTCCACGTTACTTGCATTGCAAAATGACTATTTCAATAATAAGTTGCTTCTTATCGAAGATCTCCGCTGTACAGAGCTAGCATAAAAAWCTTTCAATATGACAGACAACAATACATAGCGGTCTTGGAATGCACTAAGCAGTATCACAGTTTTCAGTAATCAACGGTTCTTGAAATTTTACGTAAAGTCCATCACACTAGACTGTACCTCATCTGTGCGTCGAACGATTTTGGCAATAGATCACCAATATTTCGAATCACCATGTATCCAACAGCTGCATTCTTCTCAAGAACTAAAAAAAAACAATTGAAATTTTATTATCTTTACTTCAACAGGATATTATCTCGGGCAAAATACTCCATTTCTGGTTCTGGTTCTGTGTTCTGCCTCAAAATCAAGAAACCTATTCTTTTGTTTCATTGATAGACCAGAAAAAACATGGAGTTTGTGAAGTAGCCTTCTCCGCACCTGACTTCTTTCTCTGATTGGGATTCCTTTGGTAATGAATAGGCTGAAAACCTCTAAAAAAAGGATGCTCTACAAAACTGACCGAGTGTCGTTCAAGACGATAACAAAGAAATTCAAACCCATCAAAACTGAAAGTCGTTGTAAGCGGAGGAGGCTAGAGATACGATTGGACAGCGCTATGCTAATTTACCTCTGTGTCCTTCAGATTTGAAGATATCTTTAGGAATAACGACTTTCGTTGTTACAGTCGACCAGTCGTCCGAGTAGGCAGCAAACGCCGTCTGGCTTGGTGGAAACATAGTACCTTCAAAGTTCTTCATCATCAGGGGGTCGAGATTCATGACTGCATAAATACAAATCACAAAAAAGTCAAGAAGTACTTTTGAGACTCACATTTTGGTAAAAATAATACAAGAATTATAAAAACAATCGAAACTCTTTTAAGACGTCAGCTTGAGAAAAGACCAGGTGGTCGCTTAATACATGTTGGTCGCTTAATAGGGGTTCAAATTTACAGTAAATATATATGAGAATCGAGTTAAAGAAAATGCAGTCTTTGCAATGATGTCATCACACTGAAGTCTCTTCTTGTTGCATTTGGGGCATTCATTCTGGCTGAAATTTTTATTTTAACTTTCTCATATTCTATGGCTTTTTATAAATTGAAAAAGATAGCCATCAGAATAAAGAAGAGAGAACTCAAAAAAATAAATCAGAAGGTTTTACCGGCAAATGACTTAATTCACAATGATGTCCGAAGCTCAAAACCACAGCCAACATGAACAACGGGTCAAAGAAACTCAACAAGTAGAAGGGAACTTAGTCCACTTTATCACTGCAAATTCTACTTCATAACAATAAACGTTTGAGTGGAAGACAATACGAAGGGAGACAGATGATCTTATACGAGAAGTTCAATCTTTCATGAGATTGTGTACGTCGCTTAACACATGCATATTGCAGGCTCAAAGATAAAATCCGTATCTGCACGTGCCCATGTAATATACTCTATCACTCTATTTATATTATAGTTCAATTCTAACACGTGCTCTGATTGGAGGATTTCATGAGAAAAGCTATGGTATATTTCGCCGGTAAACCAGCCTGCTGTCTTGAAAGACTTTTGAATCTAAATGGTGGACGCCGACCCGAATTTTCTGACGGCTCGTGATTTACAGATCTTTTCTCGTGTTCTCTCACCACCCCGCGCGGGTTATTTTGGCATTAAACCGCTTCAAGCTATCGTTTATTGCTTAAAGAATCATAACCACCCGTCGTACCTTGCGCGCTCGYATTATTGTTTACATACGTTTAAATGCGTCAAGCATACAATAAATTATAGATTAATAGTACCTGTGAGGTACTTAGTTAGAGGTATTTCTGTCCAAACTGAAAGGACGGAAGACGATTTGCGCTCACTTTAAGAAATCCTACAAATCCGCCATTTTCGTGTCCATCTAAAATGGCGCTTCGGTTCGCAAGGTACGCCGGGTGGTTATGATTCTTTAAATATTTTTCTTCATGTACTTACGTATATTAGGAGTAATGATGGTATAGGGTGGTATAATGCTGTCCGTACTGCGCTTGTATCTTCCTCTCTTTAAATGTGCCAGGTTGTTGGCAAGAGTTCCACTGAAATTTTCCATCTTGAGCATTAAATCTGCAGTCCCAGCAGAGTTCTACAAATAAAGAACAATGATTAAATTCATTTAGCTTGATTAAATATTTTTGTTACTCGGGGTTCCTGTGGAACGCCGAGTATTAATTTCGGCGTTATTTTTTTTTTGCATTCATCGCCAAATCGCGGCCAGACTAGCCAGGCGTTCCTAGCCTGTCTTGTCTCGTGCTAATTGCATCAGCTTCTTCGTCGATGGGCTTATGGTATTTCTTCTTCTCAAAAAATACGCTCAAATCACTCACAAATCCACACGCGGTATAGCCACACTAAAGGATGTCGACCGTTTTCGGAATGGGCTTTTTGAAAAATACCGCGAATAAATCAAGCTTATTGTGACTTAAGTTATGATACGCAAGCCATTTTAATCTATCCAAAGCCGACCAAAGCCAGTCATAAACTACAGGCCTTCTATCTTAAAAGCTACTGATATTCAAAGCTCTAACTACTATAAAAGAACAATAGACTCAAGTGCCGATTGTNCCATTTTGGTCTTAGCTTTCATGACGTAACTTTTCGAACGCGCAGCAATAATGCAGAAAGGGGGGGAGATGTGAAAAGGGTGGGTGGGGGGTGGGGGGGGGATAGTTTAAGTAGCTTTCCGTTCGACCCGAGCTAGTGAGTTAAATAAGATTGTGATTATGTAGATGATAAAGCGCTAATTTCATTGTAACAGAAGAAAGCAAATGCAATTATGTTATCAATAGAATTGATCAAAGAAAATGAAACATAGATAAATAAATGTCCTAAACA